TGACATTAAGTTTGTCTGTGAAATAAGTACAACTGATTATCAAGTCAAAAGATTATTATTATTATTATTATTATTACTATGGTGATTTTATTCATGACAATAATAATAAAATAATTGTAATAATTAAGTATTTTTCAGATTTAGTTTAGTACGCACATTAATATTACAATGCCGGTAACATCCTATTGATTATCAGCTGATACGTAATAATACATAACTGAACTGTAATAATACAATGAAATAATCAGCTGATATATAGAAAACAAAATTTTTGACCTGAACTCTAATGTAATGTCTATAAATTTGTCGTGAGATAATTCTGTAACAATGCTGTAAATTAGCTTCCTTCAGTATTACTGATAAAGTTGCCTTAAATCATACATATTTATAGCGTTGTGAGAAAAAGAAACATAATATTGTTCACATGGTTTCAAAAATGTATAATATTGTTCTTCAATCAGATTTACGGAGATAGATGTTTATTACTGGTATTACCAATCGATCACTGCTACTCGCACAAATCCTGGATGCGCACTGCTGATGAGTCACATCTCAGGACGAAATGGCCATCCACTGCTTCCATGTTTCTAATGGTGGTCTAACAATGACTGAGTCATGATTTCAGTAACATAATATTGTATCCAGAAAAAACAAATTCATTTTTATCGGCCGTGTTTGTGATTCAGATAAACATACTTCGATTACACGTTCACAACAAATCATGCAAGAAAAGACGACTTTCAAATGACCTGTAGGCTTCAAATGATAAGTAGAATTATAATCCTTATAAATTACCTGACCTAGACCAGAATAATATCAACTAGGTCTCTGAGTAATTGTAAAGTCAAGATCTTCCTAAATTGTCTCACTGATAACCTGCCATTTAATCTTCTATGTGATATAAATGAGTTATCCCTCTCGATTTTGGAAACCGTTGTATTTACCACTCAGAACTCTACTTTTTGCCCTAACTCTCGCATGAGTGGCTTCTTTAAAATATTTTTGGCAAATTACGACGAGATTTAAAACAATTTAGTACCTATAAATTTTGATAGAGCTATGAGAGGAGGTAGTAGATCTGAAAAATGTGGTATATTTGCGCCACACATTTCGAACAATCTGGTCACATGTACTTTTCAAGGTATTTTATATGAAAATAAGCAAAAGTTGAAATAAGCATCAGTTGATAAATAAAGGAGAGAGAAAATTAACTTAGTATAGAAAGAATAGGAAATAGTCACATTAACAAAATTCACAAATTGTTTTACAGATTACCAGGGTAAACTTAACGTTACGATGAATGGTTTGTGTACATAAAAAGCTGTTTGAATTTACCGATAGCCAAGACACGTATATAAATCTCATAATCTGTCCTTGACCATATCTATACAATGTTTTTGAAAGTTGTCTTGATGTCAATTCTTTGCCCCGTTTATTTGAACATTCGTTTAATTGACCTTTTATGAACTTTCAAATAAAATGCCATGATAAGTATATGTGTATACATACAGCGCAATTACATCACATTTTTCTGAACAACTAAGTCTTCTCACGATTCTTTCAAAAGTTAAGATGATCCAAAACGGGTTGTTTACAGACAACATATAGAGAGCTTCTGACGATTAAAATGAAATACCAGTTAAAATCACGCAGTTATATGTAGTAATCAGTTACTAAATGAACGGAACAACCCTCAGAAATCCTGGATATAACAGTTTCACTAAATAGTGGACGAAGGTTGAGTAACCTTAATTACTTTAGGGTCTAAATTCCTTACACTTTAAACTTTTAATTCAAAAGTTTGAAATTAAATTAATCGAAAAGTTTCATGCATGATAATGATAAGGAAACCGATTTATTCTAGTCAGTATCAATAAATCCTACGTATTTGCTCAATAAAAAAAATATTAAAGTAATATTAACATGGCATCATATTAACATCTTTCTACTGTACATTATGATTATGAGTGAGTAAGTAAGTAAGTAAGTTGTGGACATCACATTTAATGATCATTCATGGTAAATCTATCCTTTTAATAATGTGGTTTAAATGAACATAATCTGTCCGTGTTACAAATGAACTATTGAGATTATTGACGAAACTTGAGATAAACTCCCTAAGACTTAGTGAAATGATGACTTTAAATTAAGAAAGAAAAGGGCTATTTTCTGGCACATCAAGAAATTTAGTATAGATCATGTAGACTGAATGGAGGATGAAAAGCCAGTGCAATTTTTTTGTTCTTGCCTTGATAAAAGACCAGATCGAGTTCAGTATTCTAGTTTTTCAATTCCTGATACACTATCAATATGATTGCTAATAAACTCGATTTGGAAAAATCTTCAAAACATTTAATTCTTTGTGAGTTTTCAGTGGTATTCATTAGTCTATTTAAATGCTAAGATGACTGAAAACAAAATAACCTACGGAGACAATAAATCACAAACAAAGCTATCGGAATGAACTTGTAAAAAAACTTACAAAATAACTTCAAAGCTCATTTCTACATGCAGTAGGCAATAAATATGTACAATAGGACAATTTGAGATATACAATAAGATTATTTAGCTTAAAGAACTCAACACGACAACATATACACATACAAGTCGAACCTTGGTCATGGTACATATAAACTCAGTATAATAAAGGAATCGCAGAGATATTAAGAGGACCAGTAAACTATTAGTTGGAGTTACATAAGGCTAAAGAATTAAATGTTAAAATGTGCAAAAACACGATAGTGAAATCAATCCTGAATTAGATAGATAGATAGATAGATAGATAGATAGATAGATAGATAGATAGATAGATAGATAGATAGATAGATAGATAGATAGATAGATAGATAGATAGATAGATAGATAGATAGATAGATAATAGATAGATAGATAGATAGATAGATAGATAGATAGATAGATAGATAGATAGATAGATAGATAGATAGATAGATAGATAGATAGATAGATAGATAGATAGATAGATAGATAGATAGATAGATAGATAGATAGATAGATAGATAGATAGAAATATGTCTTCACTTCACTGTCTATAGCTAAATTTTCATTTGGCTTGTTAATTATGGTACTCACATGATGAAACCAAATTATAATTGTTCAAATGACATTTATCATTAAAAAAAATATTTCTTTACATGATAACATGAAATGTACAATAACATCAATTATTGTAGTTTGTTCCAAGTCTCAAAATCCAATAATTCACAGTTTAAAAAAATCCAAAACACGATATTACAAATCCTGTAATTTCACCGTAAAAATATTACAAAGTACATATCGTAATACTGATAATAATTTAACTAGGCGTATAGTCTATCGGAAAAATTTGATGACGACAAGAGTGATATCTTTTATATTTAACTCGATAAACAGTTTTGAAAAAATCTATACTGATACTCAAATTCTTTCATGTGAAAATTAATTCATAAATATTCATTTGTAGATCCGACTTTTTTTAATCATCAATGAGTTTTTTTTCGTAAAATTCAAGTTGATTACATGATCATAAAAAAGTAGATATATTTCGTTTTAACATTATACCATAGGTGAATTAGTCTACTAAGAATCGTTAAAAAATGTAACTAGAACTGAATAGTTTTTCACCAGAAATATGCGTTTGAATTCTCCTGTAGCTATTTGATAAGACTACGTTAGGAGTTTCTTTTTACAATAGGGATGATCAGAGGTGAACATTTTCAACTTCAATGAGGATCAAACACTGAACTTTCACGTGTCACAATGAGAGATCATAATCCTCAGACTACTGAGCTGGCATTCGATCGTTTACATTTGTAATTCTTTACAACCATCTGCAAGTGTCATTAATAGACAGATGTTTCATACCCTGAATGTTTGAACTGAATGAGTCATAATTTCGAGCTACGACTGCGAAGATTTCCGCCTAAAAGTTAGGCTAACATCATGAGATCTGTATGACTGAGGCTACATTCTTGGAAGGGGCATGTTGAAGTACATTGCGAAATAGAAATGCTACTTGATTAGCAAATATTTTGTTATGTTCAGTTCCTAATGTCAAGTGTAAAATTCTGCATACTCCACAAACTTTCTACACCTATTTGAAATTAAAAATAAACAGTTTCTCGAATGATTATATGCATAAGAATATTTGTACAATAAACGATTCGGTGGTTGAATCTAAGACTTCAATTTTGTTTTGATAGTGTCTCGTTAGCCTGAATAACCTATATCTAAGCCTTGATTAATAAGTTCAAGCTAAAAACTAATAATTGCTGTTTGAAAGTTGGAATCTTATCATTAACGTTTAGTAAGTCTCTTCGTTTGCTTTATGCCATATCAGAATCAAAAAAATTTGTATGTCAGTACATTTCGACAGCTGAGTTCAAAATTAAATGTTCCTTCGGAATACAACTACAAATTGACAATGAATCAAATCCATATCTCATCAAAAAAGAGTTCCAACTGATTACCTACTGATCAGATAACAAAACGAGTTTATCTACTTTAGTTTTATATTTCTTAAACACATTCATTCACATGATAAGACGGCTGAAATTCAATTTAACTCAAATTACTCATCAGATCCCGAATCGAACCTGACTCAGTAACTGCGTTCAAATGCATTACAAACAAGAAGAAAATGAATTTATTTTATTCAGTAACCGAATTAGTCTAATTATTTAAATTGAAATCATGAATGAATCATTGTTGGATCACCATTAGTATGGGACTATTAAGCAGTGTACATCCATGACCCACGCATATGGAAATCGAGCCCAAAACCTCCGGTCACACTCCCGAAAACTCAAGCTCTCGCCCACTGAGCCGGCACCCAACAGAGTTAATGTCTAATTCTGATCAGTCTGAAGATTTCGCTCAGCCTCATTCATTATCTCCGGTAGGTAACGGCTTACATTCGACAGGGTTGAACTCCACTCGTTACGTTTTATTTAACACTGGTTAATGCAAGAATAGAGGAAAACACTTCATAAAAATTAACTTACTATTATGATCCAGTTCGTCAAAAAATTCCTCAATACCAGCCATTAAACGTTGATTAGCTAAATTATTAAATTTTTGAATGATTTGATCGTGATTTTTTGCTCCGGACAAGTGTAATCCATGATCTTGTGAATGATAATAATCTGTAAACAAAAAGTGACCTTATTTGCTTTATTTAATTATCAAATAAAATTATCGATTTGTAGTTATCAGTTTTAAGTTAAATAAATTACTTGTTACAAACTCTTTAATTCATTATTTATCCATAGTTTCAATCAACTTAGATTGACCACCATTGAAAACTATTGAAGCCAACCGTTTAGGAACATTATAATAACATCGTTCTAAAATATCAGATGATTGTTCATCTATTTTGATTCTGAATTTCTTAATTCACAGGTTGATGTAGAACATGGTACGAAAATGTATCAGGTTTTCATTTTTGCTCTTCATATCAGAACATCACAAAAATAATAACAAGCAAAATGCAAGAATAACAGTATAGAAGAGGAATATATCTATGTATATATAACCTATAATTGAGTATATATAAGAAACAAGTTTAATTGAAACACTATTGGTAATTTTGACCTATAGTATTCAAGATCTCTAATCGACCCAAACGGATGAAGTATCCAGTCCTTGACTTTTCATTCAGACTTGAGGATGGTCGTTTGAATGAACGCTAGTAGTGCTAATAAAGGTAATTACTTCTATTTACAATTTACATCACCGGCTAACCTTTGACCATTATTCAAAACGAAGAAATAAAGGACAGATGTTTCGTTCGAGTATGGGATCATTCAAGAGTGATCGCGTACAGTTCCATCAAGTATCATAACAGGTGCAATATCATCAGCAGATACCTCAGAAATAAGTCTCCTCTTATTAACCTAAGATGCTTATGATGTTAGCCTAGAAAGACAAAGAAAACTTGAAAAATAGATCATTTACTTCAGGGAATATAGCTCTTACAGTAAATTCATAAAACTGATATCACATCTATTTGATTTAATGACTTGTCGAAACAAAATTAATTGTTAACGATTGTTTTTCATTTCCTTTGTTGAGTCAAATGTACATCTTTGGAATGACAGTGAAGTAACATGCGTTTTGTTAGGTGGTTGAATGTAGTCTCAACATTAAATCACAGACACAAACTTTACACGTTCGTTGGCTTATTTGTAAGGTGTATTTGAAATTTATTAAGAATAAACTAAGGGATTTCAACGGTAGAAAATTAATCGACTCACTGAAAAAAACTAAAGATACTAAACATGAATTCACGTAACGTAATAGATATACACTAGCCAGACTATTCAAACTTACACTAGACAGTTTAACTGATGTCGGTCCTTTATGATGAATGCATTGATTCATTAATTTCATTGTTGGTTACGAGTTAGAGGGTGGATGTCACTTCTCGGGTGCTTACACCATGAAATGGAGGTTGGATTCGAACGCAGTTTTTAACCAAATATATTATTTTCTTAGCATGCTATTTCGTTATAAAGGTCAGCGGAAAACGTATGAGCCTAGATATTACACACGTTTCAATTACATTTAAGTGAACCAATAATTTTTATGGTCATACTCTCGAAATTTACCGTTGGAGCTGAAGAAAATACTAAAGTCATCTTATTGTCTGCCTGGGACTACAAATTAGCCCGAAACTTAGATGGAGTAGGGTTTTGTGTTGACTACCACCAACCACTTAATCTGGATTCTGTCTAAAGTGCGATTAACTGAAAATTCTGTCCGATGAACGAGTGAAATATAACTATGACTTTAGCTAGTCAAACCATCCTTCCATTCATGGCAATAAAATGTCTATTTATGAAGTTGCAAACAGGACGAAACGTGCATTCCGCGTTTTATTGCTATCTATATATACCATCTAGTCTATATTATCAGCAAAATGTTTAGTTTCAATTTATGCATATAAAAATGTAATTTCATGCTTTCATCGTCCTACTCTTTCCCATGGCGATGAAATGTTCTATTAATTCAATCAACTTAATAACCAATAAACTGATATCAACTGATTTCATCATCCGTTTATCATCATTGTGATGATCAGTGTACAAAAAAATAATATTCTTTTTAATCCAAGTTCAATAGCTTTTGATTTCTGTATTTTAATTTGAAATACTTGTTTGCCTGTTGTTTTTTCTGTTATGCTTCTGGTTGCGTATTGGCACTTATTACCAATATCTTCATAAGATTTTAACAACGTGACATTTGTAAACTGTTCTATACTAACTGACTCATTATTAAAGTATGTGAAGAATTTGATTTGGTAATGCAATCGCTTTTTTGCTGTACCACATGTAGTTATGATAAAATTTCAATTAAATCTTGATTTCTTGTTTACATAATTTCATTATATCAGGCTTTCCAATCGATCTGATTTCAAGCTACTTCCTATTGTACTGCTGAAGGTAGAGAGAGTCTTCTACTTCAAATACTTTTAAATGGCTATCTGTGTATAGCCATTGCCAGGGCAATGCTACTCAGTGCCTTCTCTAGTAGCCTGGAGGAATAAATTGCAAATGAACCGATTGTTGGGCAACGACTGCTAAGGGACTGCATCTGCTGGCATCACCTTACTATTACATGGATTAGACCAGTAGGTAAAGAGCTAGTCTAATGGCCTCTCAAGAAAACCAATTGCCTTAGTAAGGGCAACCGGACAATTCCCCAGATGACACAAAATTATTAATTTGTGTGTTACACCTATCACAAAATTAATCTAAGTTGGCGATATGTTAAAATTCAATGATTACCTGAGTACAGCTGCCTCAATTTCGCTTAACTAAAGAACAACCTCAAAGAAAAAAATTCAAACCACGGTTATAACATGATGGTCTTTTGGACTGTAATACGGCCTATATCTTTCAAATATTGCCCTCAATTCAAATATATATATATATATATATGTTCTATGAATTATTGAATAACTCAGAATCTGACGTCAAAAACAAAAAAAACGTCAAAGATAGTTTAAATCAAGAAACAACTTCAGGAATGTAATCAATAAAAGTTAAACAGCTGTAAACAGTTATTTTTCACAATTAGAAGAGACCACTTCCTACCTTTAAGACATACATTGAGAGCATTACCTTAGTCAGCAATTCAATGATACAAATTTTCGACCGACAACAAAAATTGTCCAATGCGTTATCAATAAAATCTCTGTCAATAACAAAATAAATGGACTTCAACGTTTCCATTTACCAGTTGTAAATCAGAGTTTGTGAGAAGTTAATTTGGTAAAAACTCTCGTTGTAATTGTTTAAAAATAATAATGAAAAGCTTTTTCTTATATATTGAAAATAATATTCATTTTTACAAATAATCACACCTGTTTATTGATTTCCAGTGAAACAAATATCGATTATTTGAACAATATTTAAATGATAAGACTAGTTAGTAATGAATACAATGTTCAGATATAAATCTGGTATAAATTACTTCAATATCTTTGTCGAATACAAAAATGAGTAATTTTTCTTATTTTCTTATATAAATTTATTAAGATAATTGTTTATTGTTGACAGAAATAATAATCCATCATTAAATAGTATTTTGTCGGTTTTAAGGAATGTAACTAATCAGTTTCATTGATATATGTGAATTCTCAGTAAATCTATATTGTCAATTAGTCACAAGTTCTAACTGAGTTCGGAAAATGACCGGCATCTGAGCCCAGGACAGTTGAATTGTCTGATTCGAGAGTCATCAGATGAATGCACCTAGAGTCCCGTAATCACATCCAAATTGAAACTTGAATTCACTACATTTAATCTTGAATTCCGACATGTCATTTGATGAGCTATTGGGCCAAAATCAACTACAATAAAATACGAACTCCCATAAGTTCACTTCATACCCTTTACACAAGACAATATCTATCTAGACCAAACAGATCGATGAATCACCGCCTAGAGCTTGTGGAGTGAAAGGTGAAGGTTTCGAGTATCAGTGTGAATAGTGACACTGGAATCCTGATTTGTAATTGAGTTGTATGTAGATGAGCTGAAATACAAGTTGGCTTTCCCTATGGATCGATACAAAATCTAAAAAAACTAATGTCAATGAGAAAGAATTGAATACGTGTTTCGCCTCTGTGGTCATAGGACCGACAAGTCCAGCCCATACCTCCAAATTCGACAAACCATGACAAAGCGCAGCAGTCTTCAAAATCCCACTAGTGATCACTGTGACTGAACTACACCAATCAAATATTTTCAATGACTTCCAGGCTGATAATTGACTCATTAGCTAATCAGAAATCGTCAACCGTTAGGTTCTTGTGACTGGCCAAGAAATGGCCATATATGTTTGTGTACATATACAATAGATTCGGATTAGATAAACAAACTCCTTGTTTCATCCTGTCAGGTAGTTTCGGCTGTTGAACACTGCATGTCACAACAGCTATTCCCTGGTGAAAGCCAATTACTATTGAATTGTAATCTGTTTATCACTTCATTGATGTAGGTTTTTGAAGTATATTTAACTCACAGGTTTTACTTTGTCATGTAAAAACGTCAACTAGACCTTCACTGAGTGCCAAGCAATTCACAATGGCTGTCATGTTTAATTATAAGGTTCACTATTTCGGGGGTAAATATATCAAATATAGTAAATCCTTCTGTAAACTTTCAATAATCATCAAAAACAGATTAGTAGTAATTTTTCTAGTTAATAAAACATAAGTTTATCTTTTGCAGTGACATAACAAGTAATCATCAATTACTTCTTACAGACGATTAACTTCACTTTCATGCAATAGTATTTATAAATAGTGTATTACGACTTATCTAAATTATTTTTCTGTTGTTAGAATTTCAATAAGTATTATAAACCCTATCTGTTCCACAACGAGGATTTAATCACCGTAGGCGACATATACCCACACTTCACGAATCAGAATGCTTTATTTTATGAATACATCATTCGAATACAGTTAAAAGGCTCTGATTATTCAATGCTAAATAAACAAGAGTGTACATTTAAAAAAGACAATGAGGCTTCAATGTAAGGATTATACTAACACGATACTGATTAGTACTCAGTCATTGTAATTAACCCAATCCTACACGAGATCAATAGTGTTCCGAGTGAATTAGTGGTTAAA